CGTAACGTAACGTAACTAACGTTACTCTTCTTCTTCTTCTCTCTCTCTCTCTCTCTCTCTCTCTCTCTCTCTCTCTCTCTCTCTCTCTCTCTCTCTACTTGGCCCTCCTGGATGCCAGCGATATTTCGACCGTTCGATTAACGTTTCGACCAATTCGTTAACGTTTCGTTTGTGTAAGATTACAGACAGCTATGACTATAACTGTGCATATAGCTCCGAAGCTGTCATGATATTATGTAAACTTTCATGCCGTCAGGAATATGTCGATCAGCGCCACTATGTGCAGGTATTGTGCAATATATATGATTATCCTATTGTTAGTGCTCAATATAAGTGACATTATCATTTACTTACGCAAAGCGTATATAAAAAGCATTTCAGAGTTATTCTTGATTATTCTTAATTGACTCGGGTGTGATCTTGATAAAGCAAGATTGAGAAAGAAAGAAAGGTAAATGATAAGGTCTACGGCTTCTTCGCCAAGATCGCGTTGAAAAGATAGCGATCAGCTACTTGTCAAGCTACTTGTCAAATTGCATTTTTGACATCTCAAAATGAAATGTACAATCATGTATGACATGAGCGGCGTGTCCTCTTTACAGTTTTGTTCCGACAAAAGAAAAGGAAAGAAAGGAAGAAGAAAGGAGGAAGACGAAAGAAAAAGAGGCGACATGCATACAAGATAAGCAATCGAGATGATTCCTCGTGTAAAGATTAAAGACACATAGCCGACGCGATATTTTCATTGAGATTAGAGCCAAATCACACTAGAACTAAAAGTTTGAAAAAAGAAAAAAGCAAATACCCGATGATTCTGATACAGCCTGTAGATTATCACGAATCATGCTCTATAATGCAGAAGCATATCTATAATGCAGCAGGAACAAATTTAAACGATAACAGCCTCATGTAGAGAGAATAGTGTTTCAGAGTTTCACATCGACGCCGAGCATCTCGCCGGATGACGACGTGTTTCAACATTTATCGTTGACGTACTCTCGAAACCATGGGTCTATGTATCAGGGATTACCGTGCTCACCGTCCCAGCCCGCATTTAAGCGTGGAATTACCAACGGCGCCGAATGGTACCCGCTTACCGGTGGAATGCAAGACTTTAACTACGTGTGGAACGGCTGTATGGAGATCACCTTGGAACTTTCTTGCTGCAAATACCCACCAGCCGCAGATTTGCCGCATTACTGGGCGGAGAATCGAGTGGTGAGTGAAGTTTTGAAATAAAGTCTGTATGACGCTTAGAAAGGAAAAAAGAAAAAAATGCAGCACACCCCGCGTTTGCAGCCGTTCTATATTAAAACGCGTGTCTTACTTCTTTTCCGATATTATTATGTGCATTTGCTATATCCTTTCAGTCTCTAATCAAATTTTTGGCGGAGGCTCACAGAGGTATACACGGTTTTGTTGTCGATGAAAATGGTAATCCCATTGAAAGGGCTTCCGTTAAAGTGAAATCACGAGATGTCAGTTTCTTGACGACGAAATATGGCGAATTTTGGAGAATTCTTTTACCTGGCGTTTACAAATTAGAGGTAGGTACATTGCGAGAGAGAATCCTAACTATTTCTTTATTATCTTGAGCGCTACTAGCGCTACTAGCTAACAAGATACAGTTAAATAAGAAATTTGTTAAGAAAATAGCATTAATTGTCTATATTACATAAAACACGTGCATGCGCACGTGTGTGTGTGTGTGTGTGTGTGTGTGTGTGCGCGCGCGCGCGCGCACATATACATACATAATCTTGAATCTAATATCAATCTTGAATCTAATATCATACTTGTCAGGTATTCTCGAACGGATACATACCTCGTGAGGTGGAATTTGTAGTAATCGAACAACATCCGACGCTCCTCAATGTTACTCTTTATTCGACAAAAGTAAGTAATAGCATCGTAATAGTTAAACAAATGTAAGATATTTGTAATAATCTTTATTGACTTACGTTAAGTAATATCTACATAATTTTTATATATGTTTATCGAGAAAAAAATTGGTTTACAAATTGTTTTTGCAATTGCTATTCAAAGAATCTTTGAAACGTATATACTTTAATCTGATTGCTTTGTATATTTTAATTATTACTCTTACATTTGTTTTTGAAGCACATTAAAGTTTATTATATTTTAAACAGAGACAATATGATGAGGAAAGTGGGTCCATTTTATATAATGGGAATACCGGCGGAAGACCTTATCCGCACCGGGAACATGCGTTACATTATCGGCCGCAATCGGGAGTTAATACTGCTGCGGATGCCAACAACGGTATCTTCTCGTCTATTAGTAATGGATTCAACAGCTTCATGACCAATCTCTTTGGATAATCTTGTGAAACATGTGCAAAAATCACATACACTTATACGCGCGCGCGCCTACACACACACACACACACACACACACACACACACACACACACACACACACACACACACACACTA